GTTTTTAGGGTTAATTGGTAGGAGCATTTTTGTGTCAAGGTATATCGGCCTTTGTGACATGAGTCAGAAATAGTTTTCCCCGTGGCTTTTGTCTTTGCTTCCAGTGCTTTGTGCCTTGTTAGACATTTTTTGTTTTTATATGGTTGACTCAGACTTTTATTTTATGGCTTCTGGATTATGAACTGTAGTTGGAAAAACCTTCCCCTCTCCACGGTTAGAAAGGAATTTTCCTCTAGGATTTAAAAAAAAAAAATTTTTTTAATCTTTATTTATTTTTGAGAGAGAGAGCGTTAGCAGGGGAGAGGCAGAGAGAGAGGGAGACACAGAATCCAAAGAAGGCTCCAGGCTCTGAGCTGTCAGCATAGAGCCCAACGTGGGGCTTGAACCTACAGACCCAAGATCATGACTTGAGCCGAAGTTGGACACTTAACCGACTGAGCCACCCAGGCGCCCCTAGGATTTTTTTTTTTAATTGAGGTATCATTGCCACACAGTGTTACATGAGTTTCAGGTGCACAACCCAGTGATTCAACTTCTCTATATACGTTATGCTGTGCTCATGACAAGTATAACTACCCTCTGTCACCATACAACAATATTACTGTGTCATTGACTATATTCCCTATGCTGTACTTTTCATCCCTGTGACTTAGTCATTCCATAACTGGAAGCCTGTATCTCTCACTCCCCTTCACCCATTTTTCCCACCCCCCTCTCACTTCTGGCAACCACCAGTTTGTTCTCTGTATTCGTGGGTCTGTTTTCCTCTAGGATTTTTATGATTTTTTTTTTAACATGTAAGACTTTGATCCTTCTGGAATTTATCCTGACTCATGCTGAGGCATAGATCCAACTTCACTTTGTCCCAATAACCACCAGTCTGCCTAGCACCCCTCTAGTTAAACAATGCCTCTCTTCCCACGGGTTCAAGGGGACAGAGAGTAGCATAGCAGTGGTGTAGGATTGGGGCCTTTGTCCTAAGAACTGTGGGAAAATGAGGACTGGGGGATGGGAGTGCCATGATCAGATCTGCGTCTTGAAAACACCACCCTGGCCCCAGAGTGGAGACTGGGGTAGTGATATGTCTGCATATGTGAGGCCATCTCTGACCCCTGCACACCCCCCTCATTGTTAGTGGGTTTCAGCTCCTGTATCTGCAGCCCTCCCTCCATCACTACTTCTGGGTAAATTCCTAGGGAGCCCTGATGCAAACATAGAAGTCCCTCACACACGCAGGCCTCCTTTGGTGAGCTGGGACTCCGGCCGACCTCGCCCGCTCCCTCCCATGGTCTTGGCCAACACCTCAACATCACTGGTAAATGCAACGTCCATGATGCCCCAGTTCACACAATTCACCCCAGCCCACTCCCTCATTCCCTGACCCCACATTCCTTCCATTTCACCCATCTCCCAACCCACAGATCCCACCACCTCGCCCCATTTGGCTCGAACCCCACATGTGCACTCTGGCACCTGTGCAGCAACCGTGGCTGGTGGGAAACACACGCAACCCTGTCCCCCACCCCCTGCCACGCTGGCCGGTTTGCACTTTAAATGCCAGACCACAGCTTAATGGTTGTGTGGCCCCCACACCTCCTCCACCAGCGTCACTCATGGCTGATGGCCTCGTTTCCTACTCTACTGGCAGTGGGAACAGTCAGAGGCAACTGTGGAAAATTCCACCTCCCCCCATGGGCCGCACACCCAGCCACACCGCACTAGGCCTTCCTGCTTGGTCTCATGGGCCAACATGCAACCGTTCGGCCTCCTGGGGGGTAGGGGGAGACATTCCCTCATCGCTCCCAGAATCCCCCATTCTCCACCATGTTGGATCTTCCCCTCACTGCCGATGACTCCCATTAAAGCAGACATACTGTCCTGTGTCTCTCATCTTGAAGAAGTGGCCCTCTCTGGACCCCGTGTCTCCAAAGCACATGCTCTGTGCCTTCGCTCCCCTTTGCCGCTGAATTGCTTGAAAGCCTTCACTGCCCCCATTCCTCCCCTCCCTTCTCCCCAAACCATCTCCAGCCAGATGTGCACACCCATGACTCCCCCTGCCCTGGGCCCCTTGTGTGGCTAGAGCCAGCGGGCAGGTCTCAGTCTTCGTTTTACTCATCTGTCCAAAGTGACAGGCACACACACAGCCCCTCCTCCTCGATGCACTCTCTCCACTCAGCTTCTAGAACCTTCTTCTCTTCTTCCCAACCTCTGTTGGGTTGTACAAGGCTGAGCTCCCGATCCTTCCTGCCAAACCTGCTGGACCACAGTCTCCCCACTTCTGTGGTCACTCAAGGGACATCTTGCTTGAGTCCTCTCTCCAGAGTCTTGAGAAATCATCTTGACTCTGCCTTCAGAATCGATCCAGAATCCAGACACTTCCACCCCTTCCACTGCCACCACCAGCTGGGAGCCACCATCACCCCTCCCTGGCATCACTGCAGGATCCTACCTTTGCCTCCCCACACAGTGTGATCCTTTTCATACCAGGATCACAAGGCAGGTCTCGTCCTGTGTCTGCACTGAGCCCTGAAGGGGCTCCCATATCAGAGAGAAGAGAAAGTCCTAGAAATGGCCAACAAGACCCTACCCAATCTACCCCTACCCACCACCTCCCTGAAGCCACCTCCCCCTCTGCTGTCACCTCTTTGGCCTCCTTGCTGTTCCTTAAACACACCAGGTGATGGGGTGCCTGGGTGGCTCAGTTGGTTAAGCATCTGACTTCAGCTCAGGTCATGATCTCGCGGTTTGTGAGTTCTAGCTTCATGTCGGGCTCTCTGCTGTCAGCACAGAGCCCACTTTAGATCTTCTGTCCCCCTCTCTCTACCCCTCTCCAGCTCGCTCTCTCTCTCTCTCTCTCTCAAAAGTAAAAAAAAAATTAAAAACACACACACATATACACATACCAGGTGCCCTCCTGCATTGGGTGTTCCCTCTGGTAGGTACACATTTTCCCAGGAATCCACAGGAAGCCTTTGCTTAAATGTCTCCTCAGGAAGATGTCTACCCCAACCACCCTATTGAACACACCAGTCTGCACCCCGGCACTAACAGCTCCCCATTGCCCTGCCCCACTGCCTCTCTCTTTCCTTAGCACTAACCATTTTGTAGGTGATGAGCTTGTGTGTTATGCTTATGGTATCTCAGCTACCTCTCTGGCTAGAAGGTAAATTCCTTAGGGCAGGGATCTTTGTCATTGTCACTGCTGTGTCCCACTGCCCAGAACAGCAGTGGTCAGTGAATGTCTGTGGAATGAATGTGGATGTCCCAGTAGATCAGGGAGGGAGAGTGTGTCGAGGGGGACTCCTCGTTGTCTGGGTCTCTAACTAGGCAGTAGGAAATGTCATCCATGGAGACTAGGAACCAGAAGAGGGGCGCTTTTGTGGGCAGAATATCATGAACGTGTCTGTGCACCTTGGCCTGAGGAATCATGAGGATTGTTCAAGGGGAAATGACAAGCAGACAGCTCGCAAAGGGAGTCTGGGCTTCTCAGACACAGTTGGGGCTAGAGTTGCCCACGTGGGACACTTCTGTCACTTCTGTCTAGTGTAGTCATGAGTGGGATGAGATTCCCAGGGAAGACAGGAGAGAAGGGACAGATGAGCTGAGAAGACTGAAGAGAAGAAAGCCTTGCCATGAGCTCAGCAGAGCCTCTGTGTGAGACTGGGAGAGACTGAGCCAGCTGAACAACCAAGGAAGCAGGAGGAACATGACCTTTTAGAAGCCAAAGGGAGAGAGTGCTTCCAGAAGGAGGGCAGGCTTAGCAGTGTGGAAGGAGGAGGAGAAATCCTTGGTAGCAGGTGGTTAGGGACTCAGTGAGAGCCATTTTGGTGGTGAGAGGGATGGAATCCATATCAGAGGGTCACAAGGTGCATAGAAGGCAGGGAAGGAGAGGCAGTGACAGGAGACCCCCTCTTCCCAGCAATGAGGGGGAGGAGAGCCAGGCCGGAGCAGAGGAGGGCATGTGAGCACAGGAACTGGAGCCGTTCCAGAACTGCTGGGAAGCAGCTGCTGGAGAAAGTCAGTCTGATGATGCAACAGGGAGAGAAAGGCAGTGGTGGGTGCTGGGGCCCGGGAAGGTAGGGCCAGTCAGCTCCTCTGACATAACCTCAGGGGCACGGACAGGAGGCTGGGCACAGGTGCAAGTACATCCGTCCAGGGCATTTTCTTTCCCGGGGAAAATATGGCACGAGGTCCCTGGCAGAAGGTGAGAAGTCAGGTGTACAGATGTCCAGGTGGCCAACGCCCCGCCCCACCCCAGTCTGGACTTAGAGGCCACACAGCCCCCCGTATACCATTCTTGGGTATTAGCACCATCACACATCAGTTTTTCAAGCCGAAAGCCTCTGTCTTGTCTCTCCTTTTTCTATGCCCTATGCACCCCCCACACACACACCCTGCCATTAAACCAATGAGCAAGTCCTGTCGGTCCCCACTGACAAGTGTCTTCTGACTCACTTCTTTCCATCTCCACAGTCAGCACACGAGTCCAGGCCACCATCACCTACGTGGGGGCAACTGCCACTCTTGCCCCCTCCCACCACTGCTCCCTACAGGACCCATGAGTGCTCCTTGTCTCCCGCTACCATTCAAATCCCTGCCCCGCCCCCTCCTTCCCTTCTTTGTCACACAGCTCCTCCCCCTTCCTGTCTGAGATAATCTTCTCTCACCTTCAGGACGCAGCCTAGCCTCCAGCCCTGAATCAGCCCGGCCTGGCTGTGGTACCTCATACGTGCTGGGAGCTTCCTGTGCTTCTCCCCGCATGATTGTTTTCTTAAGCATCTATCCTTCCAAGGAAAATTCTGTGAGTCCGAGGTCCTGCCTCTTACTGTTACCAGTGTGTCCCATTACTCTCTCCCAGAGGGACCCGGCTCATGGGTGGTGATCCATAAACACGCATGGGCCCACTGAGGGCCGAGTGTCACCTCCCTGTGCCGGCCTCGCTATCCAGACTGAGGTCCAGGGTCTGCAGGAAGCAGAGTAGTTGCTGGCACGGCCACAGCATGGCTTTAGTGGGAAGTATGTAGGGTTCAGGAGTTGGGAGAGCTCCTTCTGGGATGAGTTCCACTCCTAACCAACTGTGTGGCCTTGGACAAGTCACTTCTTTCTCCCTGAGCCTCTATGCTATCTGTCAAGTGGGGATGTTTACTGCACCTCTTGCAAAGGTCAAATGCAGTGCGGTCTGCACATCATGAGGTGAAGACACCTGTGGGTTTCACGAACATTCTCCAGGAGCCCTTATCTGCTATAAGACTGGTCTCAGCGTGCTGCACTCAGCCTTTCTGGAGTCTTCTGGACTCAGCCCCTTCGGCTTCCCCACACACACCCAGACCCGGCGCCCCTAACCCCAGGGCTGAACCACGGGTACCCCCTGCGTGTCCGCTGAGCCACACACATACCTGTAACCCTTCGGAGCTCTGTGTTCCCTCTGCCCCAAATGTTTTCTCCCCCCACACGTCTCTCCCCTTCGACAGAAATGAACTGACCCCAGGTGAGCACCAAAATTGGTTCTTCAAGCAGGAACAGGTCTGACTCCTACCTAGCTTGCCAAAACCCGACCCGGGTGGGCCCCCAGCAGCGGATCAACAGCAACCTTGTGAAATGTTTGCGTGAACCAATGCATGCAGGATGTCATTGCCACCCACACGCCCAGCCCTGCCCCTGCGAGGGCAAAGGCGCCCCCTCTGCCCTGCCCCTTAGCTTTGGGACCTGTGAAGGCTTGCAAGGAGGGGTGGCCAGCAGCCGGCTGAGGAAGGAGCCGGCCTGGCCAAGGGGACCCTCTCTCCCTTTGACGCTGACTGGGGCTTCTCTGCTTGTGTTTTGCAGGTCCTCCTGTAAGTGTCCTGGATTATGCTCTCTGCTCCTGAAAGATAAGACATTTCGTTCTCTTCTGTAGCTATTTCATGAAAATAAGTTTTTTAGTTAGATGTGTTGTGTCCTTTAAAAAAAAAAAAGAAAACTTAGTCCCGGACAGGGGCCATATTTTTTTTATAATTTGTAGACAAATACAAGCACAGAATTCTGTGGGTTTGACTTGCCTTGTGAAGCATTCTGTGACCGTTTTGCCCTCCAAGAGAGCTGGCACGATCCTGACTGCTCCTCTCGGAGTCTCTGGCTCCATTTGGTGCACAGAAATGCAAGCACCGTGCCCCTACTTTCTAAATGCTCCGCGGCATTTAATCCATTTAAATGTTTTTGTCTCACATGCTTTGGCACAAAGGGCTCTGGAGTCAGGCAGAGATGCCAGGAAGAAAGGGGTCCATTTTCCTGACTTGCCACAATGTGTTTGACCCTCTGGATCCGGCAGCTGAACCCTGCCCAGCACCACTGGCCAGGGAGGGTGTTGGGTCCGAGGAGGATGCGCGGGAGGGGGGCCGGCCGCCAGGGGGCAGCAAGGAGAGCAGGGGTGGGTGGTGGTCAGCGCCCCGGAAATCCCTGTCCTCCTCCAAGACACGTGACTAGTGTGCCTTTGATTCATCTTGGCGGTTTTTCAGAGCCCAGTGAATCCTGACGAATCAATTCAAGGAGCACACTGAGCCAAAATGAACCTTCTAAAGGAATTCCTTTCGGATGATCAGTTTTATTTTTGACTTCCGCTTACCATGATTCACGTCCCAATCGGCACCCTTCGGAATCTAGGCTTCTCCATGCATGTAGCAGCACCACGCTGAGCCAGAAAGTGAGCCAGCAAGAAATGTGTAGATTTATTGGCCACGAGCAGTTTCTCCCTGTTGAGTCATTCCTGGCTGTCACATGAGGCTAGCCTGTGCGAACTTGCTAAAGTGCGTAATGCAGAGGGCAGTGGACTGATTCTTTTTTCTTTTTCTTTTTTCTTTTTTTTCTTTTTTTTTGACTTGGCTGTTAAACTATTAAATGTATTCAACAAATGCAGAAATCTCAAGCTGCAGCCTGAGATGGATGCTGATGTGTGGGACACAGGCCAGACAGTCAGTGCTCTGAGCCGGTAGGGGCATCCAGTAGCAATAAATGCCACTCCCCACCCCCCCCATATCTGTGGCTTCTAAGGCTGTCTTCCTCCAGTCTACTCCCTCCCAGTGGTGACAGGCAGGAAGAGCCATTTCTGCCCTTTAGTCCCGATTTAGGGAGCATTTTCCATGGTGGTTGTGACACCACCCTTCAGAATCCCACATCCCCGTGTGGTCCTCACCATGTGCCCCTCCTGAATCGTGTGGGTGTGTGCCCTGGTGGCCCTTCCAGCCTGGCTCCAAGAGCAGGAAATGGGTGCTCCGTCTCCCAGACCCGCCGGAGCCCTGAGCGCGTTCCCCCCCACCCCCAGGAGTCATTACCAACCATCAGCCTTTGCTGCAAACCCCGCACAACGTGGGGGGATCGGGGGCCCTGATTGAGTTATAAGTGTTGCCATATGGTTTTCTGCTGAAAGTCTGATTATTAATGACGTATTAATTACCACAGGGGCAATCAGGACGAGATGGCTACCCGGTAATTTGCCGTTTATTTTTTGCTCTTTGTGCCCTTTTCTCTCAAGCTGATCTTCTTCCTCTGAGCCTTTATTTAACTCTGTCTGCGCTCCTGCCCCCTCCCCCTCTTCTGCTTTCAGTGGCTGAGGTCTCTCTTTGGAGGGGATTAGCGTTGGCTCTGAGAAGGAAGGTGAGGGATGTGCAGACCTGCAGGGTTGGCCTGGTGGGAACGTCCGCTGCTCCAGCCATCCTGCAGGCAAAGCAGAGAGGCTCAAGAAGGAGCCTCCTTGGCATCCTGGATCGCCCCCCAACGCTCTTGCTTCCCAGACCATCAGCCCTGCACCGAGGGTCCAGCCCTTGGCTGTGGAGTGCCCCTTCCCCCCACCCCCACCCCATCTCCCTCCCCCTGGCTGGCTTGGCTGCCAGCCTCTTCCCAGTGGGCAGGGGCTGTCCTTCCCAGCCCACCGAGTCTTGTCAGCACTCAGGAACGGGAGACTGCTTGATTCCAGTTTGGTCTTTGTGGTGTCATCGCCTTCTCAGATCTTTTGAATTAAACCTAGAAGTTGGCTTATACTTGCAGTCAACGTGCCCCGCCCAGGCTGGGTGAGTGTTGCATGAAAAGCAAAATTTGATGTAGCTGTGTGGCCGTCCAGTCCTGCTCAGAGAGGTGAAGGACCACAGCCGTGGCATCCAGAAGTCCTGATGTATCAGAGCAGGGGGGTGACCTGGTGGAAGGAGAGCATGGCGGGACCATATGGTTGGGCGATGGAGTTGTTCTGTGCCTTCAGGTCAGGAAGGTGCACGGAGGAGAATGTTGGTTGATTCAGAGGCCTCAGTAATGACCAGATCTGGCCAGAGTCTGGATGGGCTGGTGATGGAAGTGGAGGGAGGGAGGCTCCCCCAGTCCTGCAGGAACCACCTTCCCAGGAGGCTGTGGAGGGTAGTCCTGGCAGACCTGGGCTTATAGTGCCTCCTAGCTGGGCATCTCAAGGAGAGCGGGTAGTGGCTGGGTCAATGGGTTTTGTCCCTCTTCCCCCCTTATTGGCCCCTCTGAGCACAGGGTAACTCCCTGACTCCCTTCTCCCTGGCATAAGAGAAGATTTTGGTTGATGCATTTTTCCAGGTAAAGGACAGGAGTTCCAGACCAGCCACCAGGTCCAGGTGGAGCCGGGGTTTGAATTCCATCTTTACCACTCGCTGATCTAAGTCTCCCTTTCCCTCCCTGTGAAGAGGGCGGTGAGGTTCAGGTGAAGTGAGGTCATGCCTGGAGCCTCCAGACACCAAAGGTGGACAGGTGACTGGGGCTGTTACAGGGCTACCAGGGAATTAAGCCTGAGGGTTAGCATGTGAGGAGGGACTTGGTACCCAGCCTGGGCCAGAGATGGGACTCTGTGAATTGGGGGAGGGGAGGCCAGGGGATGAATGTGCTTGTAGTGTGTTAAGTTCTGAGCTTCCTGGGAAGAAAGTAGATTAGGGCCCAGCTATCCTTCCCCACTGCCTGGTCAGGCCAGGTGAAGGGTAAGGGGACCCTGTCAAAATCTCTGGTAACATACCCACGAGTGTACAGGGCTGGGGCTCCCCTTTTCCTGAGGTCACTTGATGGCGGTTTGAATGCACACCGCCCTTTCCATACAGATATGAACATCTTCCCTGGCTGGGCTGGCCCTGCCTGCTGCTGCGTCCAGGGTAATCATGCTTTCAGCACCTGGAGCCAGCTCATTCCAGCTGTGTTCCTCCACACACCCTTGTTCTTTTTTCTTATTTTTTCAAGAGAAAGAGAGAATGCAGGGGAGGGGCAGAGAGAGAGGGAGTGAGAGAATCCCAAGCAGACTCCACGATGTCAACACAGAGCCCAATGCAGGGCTCGAATTCACG